CCCAGGCACCCCAGGGAGGCAAAAGCTAGCCCCCACCCAGGCAGAACTGGCAGAGGCAGAGGGAGGGAGAGAGAAGAAGAGAGAGAGAGAGAGAGAGAGACAGACAGACAGACAGAGGGGAAAGAGAGGGAGGGAGGGACTAGGAAAGGAGGGACAAAGGGAGGGGAAGGAAGAGGAAGATTGAGAAGGGTGTGTTGGTGTGCATGTGTGAAAAGAGGGAGAGAGGGAGAGGGAGAACGTGCAAGCAAATGCAGCTGAGTCTCCGGCACACACCATGGACACGTGCAGACGCACGCGTGTGAGCGCACACACACACACACACACACACACACCCGCATGCGCAGAGCTCTGGTACTGTTCAAGGAGATATTCAGAGCCCTCCCCAGCCCACACATGCATTAAAAACACTCTCACATGGATACATGGAAGCGTGCACAACACACCCACTCACTGATGTGTACAAAAATGCTGATAGCCACCAAAGCTGTCCCCTCCCCCTTCCCATGTCTGGTAAAAGAGAAAATGAAACAGGCAGCCAAGGGCTCTTGGCTCCCTTAGAAGACAGAGAAAAGAGGAGGAAGAAGAGGTGAAGGAGAAGGTGGGCTGGGTGCCTGGCCCAATCACAACTGCTCTTTGCCACTTCTGGTGAAGTGTGGCTGTGCCTTTGGCACTAACTTGTAACCCCCATCTCTTCCAGCCCCTACTCCTGAAGCTCAGTGCCCATCCCCAAAGCAAAGAAACAAGGAAAGCATTCCTGGGCACAGTAACACCCATTTTGCTCCTCTTGTCGGCTTCAGAACTTCCAACTCTTCCCTCTAAACCAAGGGATGTTAGTAGCCCAGTTTTGGCCTGCCAAGTGGCACTAAGGTGAAGCCACATGTGCCCCCACTGCACACTAGTCTAAGATGTGTGTGGGCCTGCAGCCTGAGGTGTGTGTGCCAGCCCTGGGAGGGGAGGTCCCACAGGTACTGTTTACCACGCTGGGCAACAACATGGAATGAACTACTTCAGGTGAGTTTCCCCCCCTCCCCCCGCTGTCTCCTTCTCTCTTATAGCAGAGCTAGGGGTCAAATGCAGTGCCTCACATATGCTGGGCAAGCATTCTACCACTGAGTTACTCCCTGCAGTGCTCCCCCCTCCCCGCCCCAACCATCTTACATTCTTATCCTCAGCCTCCATGGAGCAGATAACACAAACTTGGGCCCAGTTGCACCAGTGGTGAATGGCAAAAACTCAGCCCCTCAACTCCCAGCCTGTGTCACCTCTGCCTCCCCCATCAAAGAGGTACCAACGTTGGCCAAGCACACCTCTGTAGCTATGAGAACTGGAATTGAGATTGGGTTCCACTCCAAAGATTGCAGTCACCCCACCAAGGGGCATCGCCCATAGTCCTTGTATCACCTTGAAGGGCAGGCACTGAATAAAGAGGTTTGGGGTAACCTAGGGAAGACCCAGGCTCTCCAGGTGCCATGCCTACTACACTCAGTGTCTCAGTTACTCTGCCATGACCCTTCACACTAATACCCCGATCTGAGCAGAGGAGGGGAATCTGGCATCTGTGAGGCAGGCCAAGGTCCCAGTTGATGGTAGTACATGGGTGACATGCTAGCCCTCACCCGTGCACACACACCCCCCCCCAGGAAAGAGTAAGGCCACTGCCTCTTTCCTGAGTCTCTCATTGTGTAAGGGAGAGAGCTGGGGAGAGGGGATTTTTTTTTTTTTGTTATCTCTCTTGCTGCCAGCACTCAGACTTGTCCCAAAAGAGATGCAGTGGTGCCAGGACATGTACCCTTATCTGGGGAGGTGTGTCCTAGGATAAGATGCCCAGGGCTCCTTTTAGGCTAAAAACTGAGGGTTAGAGAACTGATTCTAGCTTGTAACAATAAGTAGGAGAGGGAGAGATGACCTGAGTGGTGAGGAGACTGGAGAATGGAGACTCCCTGTCCCCTACCAAGTCTTAATTACCATTGCTGCGATATCTCTACCTAGCTTCTCCATGAAATCAGGCGACCCACAACCTCCAGGCTTCTATAGTCACCATAGCAGCTTCATACACATAGCTTCGTACAAACTAGGTACTTTTCAGAGCATCTTATATATCTGAAATACCTCTCAACATGGACGGATAAATGAGGTAGATATTAATTAATATCCCTAGTTTATACATAAGGCAAGAGGGAAATTGTCTTTTCAAGGTCACCCAGCCAACAGGAGGAAGAGCTGGGACTCCAACTCAGACAGTCTAGCTCCAAAACCATGCCTGCTCTTTACCATGACAGCACATAGATAGATAGATACATAAATAGAGAGAGAGAGAGAGATATTCGACTATGTGTGGCAAGCCTCAGTTTTCCCTTCTGTAGCAGCCCATGGATGCTCTACAGTAGAATCCTTACCAGTGTCTCATCATCCAAGTAGGCCAAAGCCAGAGGGAGCCTGGCTAGAAATGCTCCATACCCAGCCACTGGGCTTTGGGTCTCCTGTCCCAGTGGCCTCTGCCTAAATTCCCTCTGTGAAAGAGTTGCCCTTCCCACCCTTACTTGTATGTGAGGGATTCTCCTTTAACCTCATAAACAGTCTGAGCAGTTGTACCCTTAGAGCCAGGCCTAAAAGCTGGGCAAGGAGGACACAGCTGTTGGGCATCTTTGAGGTGGGTCTCAGCTGCCAGGGGTGTGGAGAAAGGCCATTGTAAGTCCTGCTGTGGACCCAGCCAATTCCCGCCACTGCCCAATGGGGTCATGCTTTTCCCACTTAGGTCAGTGTCGGGGGAGGAGCTGCAGCCTTTACACCCATGGCTCCCACAGAACTGGTGTCCCCTGGCTGGGTGTGCCAGCCTGAGGGATCAGCATGGGGAGTAGCTGACACCCCTGGTCTCCCCCATTCCCAGCCCCCAAAAACTTGTTGGCCAGCCTCAGCTGCAGCACTAAGGAAGCGCAGGATGTCCTGAGCAGCCAACTGAAACCCCCCCACCCCCCACCCCAACCTCCGGCTGACCCCAGAGGCGGGGCGGGCGGGCGGGCGGGACAGAAGGCCAGAGTTTGAGCATTAACAACTGGAAAAGTATGAAGAACATTGCTGCCAGTTCCCATCTCTGTGAGACAAGTGGCTGTGGCAGAAACAGAGACAAGGGGCAGGGTGAGAGAAAGAGAGTTACAGACTGGCAGAGAAATAAGGAGGGAGGGAGGGAGGATCAGACACCCCAAGACAAAGCAACAGAGAGAGACAAGAGTTAGAAATTCCAAGTCAAAAATACACATCACTCACACAGACACTGGCCGGCATACAGCCTCTGAAGGAAAGTTTCCAAGTTTGGACAGGAGGGGAAAGGTGGGAAAAGGGGTTGAACTCAGGGTGGGAGGCAGACATTCAGCTGGGGGCAATTAAGGGGACCCAGGAAAGGCTCAAGCCAGGTCCCCACTTTGGCTTTTAGGGTAGGAAGGAGAAAACCCAGCTGCTCCCTAGGAGCCAGTCTTTCCCGACACCCCTCCCCCAGCAGCCACGACAATCCCAGCTGCTGGAAGTCACTGGACGCTGCTTCAGGCCCATGGCTGGCCCCTCTGGAGCCCCCCTTGCACCCATTTTGCTCTTGGTCCTCTGTCTTCTCCCCCCCAAAAAAACCCCTCATCTATTGCTATGCACAGGCTGAGCTTAGAAGACAGAGAGAAGCTGGAAGGAAAAGTCGGTGATTGTGTGTGTGTGTGTGTGTGTGTGTGTCTAGGTGTGTGGCTAATTGTTCTGGTTGCAATGTGTGTATCTAGGGTTGTCTAGACACGACAGGAGTGGACTTTTGACTGTGTGGACTCATGTCTTGTGCATGTGTTCTGCACACAAGTCTGTGGGACTGTGCACAAATGAGTGCACCTGAGTTCCTGCAGTCAATCAACTAACAGGTGTTTACAGAGCACACCCTGTTCTAGGCTCTGGGTGGAATCCAGAGGTCTTCTAGTCATTCTCCTGGGCTTCAAAGAGCTTGCCATCGAGTAATCGGGCGGTATGACAAGTGACAGTGATTGAGAATGTGTTCCTGAGAACATTCGCTTTGCACTATTATGCAGAAGTGTTTTCATACAGATGAATTTGATTTTTCTCGAGAGTAGAGGTTTTATTGTCTACAGGACCTCAGAACTCCATGGTAAGAGTCCAGGAAAATACTTGTTGCTAGGTTGTATACACATGTATTGATGTGTTCACTGCGTTTGTGTTTGACTGACGGTCACGGCAGGCGATGGTGACTGAGTGACTGGGCATATGTGAGCACGTGTGTGCCTGCCAGTGACAGGGTCTTTTGTAATTGTGAGGCTATGTGCAATTGCTCTGTGTGCACGCATGCATGCATGCATGCATGCGATAGTGACTTTCTCTGTGTGGGTGACAGTGACTCCTCCTTGCTCCTGTGTGTGACAGCATCTCCGTGTGACCCTGTGCGTGGGTATGTGCATGGGTTGGTCTCCCTGCTCTTGGTCTCTCGTGGGTGTGTCCCACTCCTTTGAGCTCCACCATGCAGCGGCAGCCTGCCTTTTTCCCTTGTCCCCATGTGGGTGTGTCCAACAGCTCCTGTCCTTGAGTCTGCCTGGGTGTCCCTGGGTATGCATGTGGCTGTGTGGGCATATCTGTGTCTGCATGTCACCTTTGCTTCCCCCTTCATCTTGGACAATGGTCCCCTTCATCCCCTCCCCCTCCTGGGGCCAGAGCCAGCATTGAGGGGCAGGCTCCAATGGCACTGGCTTTCCTTCTGTATGCAGCAACCCCCCCCCCACCAGCCCCTGGAATGGGTGTCTGTCTCCATTGCTTCTGACATCTTCCCAGGCCTTCCTTTCACACTGGACAAGGGAGGGCCCTAGACAGAGAAGGGGCACCAGAGACACGTTGCAAAGGGAGGGGAAAAAAGGAAGGGAGGGGGCACGCACAACACAGGTCCGTTCCCTCCTCTCTTCTCCAACCATGCCAGCCAGTTAACTCCCCTAATCATCTTGGGACCATCAAGCAAGCACACCCCCCACCATTACACACACACACACACACACACACACACACACACACACACACACACACACTTTCCCCCCCACCCCATCCGCCGCGTTTTTGCAATTAGGAGTGTTGCAACCGGAGAGCCATGCTCCCTGGGGTGGGGTGAGGGGAGGGGGCCTTCTCCCCCGCCCCCCCCCACCCCATCCAAGCAAGCCCCCTTCCACCACCGCACTTACACTGCCCTCCGCAGCTGGAGAGGCAGGTTTGCAAAGGCCACTCGGTCTTCGAGGCTAGGGGTGGGGGCCGGGTGTGTGTGTAGGGGGGGGCAGGCCTCCGGCGCACCGTAAACAAACCGCGGCGCGGCGGGCGGGGGAGCCTCGGCCCCGGGGGCCCCGGGGGCCCCGGGCCGGGGAATGCGCAGCAGACCGGCCGGACAGACGCCGGGCGGGCCCTCGAGGGGGAGGCCCGGACGCCATCTCCGCTTGCGAACCCGGGGGGCCCCCCGACCGCCTAGCACCACCTCCCTTCCCCATGGGCGTTAAGTTGCAAGCTCCCGGGCTATGACAGGGTCACCCGGGCGCCGGGAAAGGCGACGGTTGGCAGCGGGAACCCCCGGGGTACCCCCAGCTTCGCCGGCCAAGCTGGCGGTGGAGACCCGCGGCTTTGCATAATCAATCGCGAGGTATTTGCATATTAATGCCCCCTCGCTCCCTCCTCCTTACCTCGGCGTGGTGCGCTGGACCGGGGCTGGGTGAACGACTGCGGGGGTCCTAGCGCCCCGAGCCGGGGGCGTCCATGGGGGGCCGGTGGGGCCCGGG